TTCATACAGGAGTAGTAGTTCAATTACATTAATTTAATTACTGTAATTTAATAACTTTCTTTGTAAGTTGTAACTGTAATTATTACTTTCGGCTAAACGGAATTCTAATTTAATTATATTCTAGCGTCAGTAATTGCGAAATTTCAGGCTCAATTACAACTACTTTTGCAAGACTTTACGGTACCGACGGAACCTCTCTGAAAGCCTTACCGCTCGCACAAGTGGCCTAGCGCTCGGTGACACACTTGCACACACAGACGCGCACTCACACACACGCACAGCAAAAACAGCGTCGCGGTGTTTGTTGTTTCGATGCTTACACTCCGGGCTGAGTGTATCCTCTTTGGAGCCTACCTCAACGGCGCCATGTTGCGCCGTCTGTGTTGAGAGCAGAAAGCAGTCGCACAAACATGCCAAAATATTGAAGGAAACAAAATTGAGGTTCAGCTTCTAGCCGAGGTTGAGGATTTTAATGGTCTATGAAGTCAGTTTTTTTATTTATTTGTTTGCCAGTTTTTTGCGTCCCTCTTTGAGTACTGTCGCATTATTTGTATTATTTTCAAGTTTATGTTTGTTGGTTTTACCTCGGACATTATTTGGATAAGCATTTTGGAGCTAACTTCGCACCCATGAAGATTGTCATGATTGATTCGGGAGCCCCTATTCGGGTCTTATAAATTTTGAGCCATTGTAATTTAAACTCAATAAAAATAATTTATAAAAAAATGAAACGTTTGTCTGTAAATATGGTCGTATTAGCGCGTGTGGATGTGGACTGTAGTCTTATATTAACACTATTAAAATATTAAGATATGGCTAATCATCACATTTTTATTTGCCTGGCTAACAAAAGTGTGTCAACCAATTTTATTTTAGTGATCTGGTGTCGTCGAGTATATGAACTAGTTTATTATTATTTATTGAAAATATAAGAACTTAGGATTTCATTATCCCAAATTGTTAAGTTCTCTAATTAATTTAAGAAAATTCACGAAAGAAATGTACAATTCGTGACATATATTCTGCGATGGTTAAGCCTCCTCAAACTTTTGGGCAAGGAATGAAGAAATGCGTTGCATTCTTAACATGTTGTTTGAAGTTATGTCGATCAAAATGGTCGCTCCCAGGAATAAGTAATTGTAAAGTAATTGCATTACTTTTTGGTGAAATTTGTAATTGTAATGAATTATTTTTTATATAGTAGTAGTTGTGATTAAGGTTAAACTACTTTCGGAGAAAAATAATTGTAATTGTATTTAAATTTTGGAAGAAATTTAGCATGTATGGTCCGATTCAATTTGCCGCGGCACACTAGAGCCAGTTGAACCTCTAGCGTACGTTATAACAATGGTTTGTACTTAAAGTTTGCTTTACTTGCAGCAGAAATTGGCCGGTATTGCACTGCCACCGGGGGCGCTAGATTGACAATAGGATGATTATAAAAAGACTATACCCGAATTCTGTATGCTCCCCTGCCAATAAAAAGACGCTAAAGGGTGCTTTCGCCATTTGATTGCCATTTTAGCGCCTACCACGTCAGTGCCAAACGTCAATAAAAGGGTGATACCGCGTCCATAAAATTCAAGCGAGGGCAATCGAATGGCGATAGGGGCAATAGAATGTCTGTCGGATGTATATAGAATGGCGGAAGCTATTTTTATATTGGATTATTAGATCAGCGATGATATTTCCTTTGATATTTTGCTTCTAACATTTCACCTGATATTTTAGTCGGAACATTTCGCTTGATCTTTAATTCGTAACATTTCGTTTCTCTGTCAGACAGTCTTGACGGTTCGTATGATCTTTAGAGGGACGGTAAAGACGATTTGTAAGTTCAGTTGAACAATTGAGTTGCACCCACCCTCACTTGAGCCCCTCAAGGAGGCTGTAGAAAACCGATTGAAGAGAGGATGCATCTCGAACCATGGGGAACGTTTGCAATTTAACGCGGACACCTTCTGGGGAGATTGGTCGCTAGTGCGCATGCGTTGCGTTTGCGCGAGGCGAGGAGGAATGAGGAGGATTATGTGTAATGTACCCCCTCGGTCACGTGACTCTTCGCGAGCGCGATTCGGAAAATGGAACCTTGCCCAGAGTAAGGCTAAGCATTATCGCGAAACAAATGCATCACGATAGTGCCTCAGAGATACTTTCGAGTATCTGCATCTCTGTATCGAGATACATTTGAAACATGTATTTGTAGCTCAGTAGTGAAATTCATTTACAAGGTATCGCTTGTATCCCGATAGTTGGCCAGACTTAGGTATCCCGTTACATTTGTTGCCCTTTTTAAGATAAATTTAAAAGGTGAAAACATGTGTTTGGAACGAATCGCTTCGCAAATTATATTATGAACCCACCCTATAACAACATCTATCTCAGTCACTAATATTAAACAAACTGTGTTTTAAAGAGGGTTACTTGGAAAGAGTAACGAAGTCAGCTCCTCTCACAAAGCCCTCCACGTTTTTTTAATTTAGCGAAGCGAACGCTGTAAAGGAATTAAGTGTAGAAAACCTATGGCCCTGTTCTCTAGTCTATCCACACAATTGGTGACTCAGAAGAACATTAAACGACAGATTGACATGTACCATCACGGCACAAATGGGTTCGTTTCGGGCAGACGCCTTTAATCATGCATGGTACGCAACCTTCACCACTCTGTAACTATGTGGTTCAACGGGGGTGACATGTTTTTGCAGCGGCATTAATAATGAATAAAGAGTTCCAGGTAAAGGGTAGTGCATAAAATGTCACAAGGAGAGGAGCACAAACATAAATTATCTTGCGCATTCGCCACGAACTACACCCCACGTAGCACCGTTTGGGACCAAAGTATTTCTATAAGTCTCTGTATCTGTATTCCGGAATACTTTTTGACAACTTTTGCAAAACATATTTTAGCAAATTTCCTTTGAATAATAGACAAATGTATCTCAATACCTGTAGTGTGGGCCTCAAAACACATTATCTCAATATCTGTAGTTTGGGCTTTAAAACACATGTACCTCAATATTTGTATTCCCGAATACTTTTTGGAGTATCTCTGCCTAGTCCTAGCCCATAGCACCTGCCTGGGAAGAAGAAACCGCTCTGAACAGAACGACCGAATGCACGCCACGTAACGGACGTAAAATAGACCTCTTCATGTAATCAAAGTTGATCCAGCAAAATAAATGTTATTTTATTCCTTCACGAACCGACGTCACATTTCCAATTAACGATACGTGACCACCAGGCCACCGTTGGCACACCTGTTTTGGTTCAACGCGTGGGAACCTCAACGCTTTAAAGCTTAGAGTTTATGTTTTCTGTTGCCGACAGAACGACAATTTATTTGTTAAAAGAAAAGGATGTGACCAGCTGGAGTAGCTAGGAACGCTGAGGCAAAATGCTTCGAGCGGCCGCAGGCTGTTGCCTTCTGAACGGATGTCCCTTTCCAGCGAGACGATTGCTCAGGGTATAGCGATGGTGATCTTAGTCGCTTCTATAAAAAGACAGCACAAAGTATTCTTAAAGGTTTCGGTAGAGATAATCTCACGCCTTTTGAGCCAGGTCGTGGGAACGTTAAAAGTGTCTTCCGAAGGAGCATGAAATGATGCCGCATATACATAGCTTTGTTGGTGTTTCTTTGCCAATTTTATGTAGTGTACAGAATAAAAATTATTTTTATTTCAAACAATCATGCGGCCATTTTTAATCAAAAGTATCGAGTAAGGGGTAACGTAACTGGATACGAAGTACCGTAAAATAATAACTGCGTTACTTTACTCGTCAGTTATTTGAGATTTTAACGAGTACGTTAGTAGGTTAGTCACAAACGTAACGCGTCACCAGTAACGTCGTTACTTGTAACGCGTTAGTTCTAACACAGCCCTGATCAAGTAGTTAGAACCCTCCAATTACCTGGTATCGCAAATACCATGTTTAGGTGAATTATGTGTTACACATAACATTGTTACTAGCAACCAGTATGGATTTCAGAAAGGTAAATCAACGGAGATGGCATTGCTAAATATAAAAAAATAAAATCTTAGGCAACATCGAAAACCAATGTTGTACGCTAGGCGTTCTTTTTTTTAAATTTGTAAAAAGCATTTGACTCCATAAAACACGACATCCTACTCCGAAAACTACCGCCTTATAGAATAAGAGGTACTGCACTTAGCCTAAGGCGCAACGTGCATTTACGAGGGCGCCCATCAAACCACTGTGCCATCTTGGCCGCGAGGCAGCTACGTAGCTGCCTCGCGTCTGACACGATCGCAGGGTCGTGTCGCCGCAGTGTTGATCGGGATCTAGGTATACGTACATGGGTAGCGAAGCTTTCAAAGAAGCCCACATGTCAAAAAAAAAAAAGCTGCCCGTGGGGCTGCTTTAGCGCCATCTATGAGTCGTGGGGGCACTTCCGGCGGAACTAAAAATCAACAGGAAATGACGACACTTCCGAAAAAAAAACGTGACGTCATCCGTGCGTGCGGTTTGGCGCGAAAATTAGACATAAATTAGTTCCAGAGACCACAGGTAAATTAATATACCAAAAAGTCTCAAACATAGCTCTGTGTTTGAGCTTTGTTTGATACTTTTTAGTGTATGGGTCGTTCTTTTTACGTGCAGTCTCGGGTTTTTCTAAGGGTGTTTACACCTTGTATTTACTCTATACTGGAATACTGGATCGTTTACGCCATTATTTGCCCTTGCTGTTATATTTTGTTCAAAGTGTTTTTTTCTGCAGCCGACTTTGTTAGCCGACCTGCTATGAGATTAGTTTCATTTCGTCACACCATCGTGTCTTTGCACTGCGGTTAAACTCCAGCAGCAGTGTTTTGCTCTTTGTTCCCTCTGGATCCCTCGGAAATATGTGAGAAACCTTAAAGCAAAGGATGTCATGTCAGAAACAAAGAGTGAATCAAATTACTGGAGTGCGCCGGGTGTATGAAATGCACAATACTAACTCTAATGCATGTCCAACGTCGCATTAACAGTCACGTCTTATTTGTTTTATTCGCTTACAATCATTCAATCAGATTACTCACTAGAATTATACAATCGGTATCAACTATTTTGAAAGTATCATGGTCGAAGAAAACCAGTAGATTGGTACATAAGGAACATTATAACATAATTAGACATTGTACTATCGGCTGGATGTTGTGAGGTCATTGACAGTTTACACTAATAACTCGGAGGTTCCACAGTGTTGCGAGGACAACTGAGGCCACGACTGTAACACACAGATGAAAACGACACTTTTCTACACATTCCTTGGGCAAGGTACCATAATGCCTAAAATATCTTAACTTGCATCAGCTGGTCCTGCTACAGTGCAACGCAGCGATTGTTTGGTGCAGGTCAAGGAAGCCAAGTGAAGTAAACCGTTTTGGAGCCCAGTTGTACGCTGCACTTCATAAGCCAGGGTTGTTTCACAGCTTTAAACGCTATGTATGTGAATCAGTTACAAGACTACATTACTCCTCAAGAAACCGAAGAAAATGAAAGGTTCGAATAGAACATGCCTACACTGCTTTAAAAAGTACTCTGGGTGGTCTCATGTACGTAGCCTGTGCACTTGCTGTCTAGCTTTACACTTTGCTGCTGTATCAAATAGTTTAGCATTCTTTTTCCATGCGAACCAGTGCAGAATGACTCTGACAATCAACAAAAAGAAGTCATGATAAACACTTTCGTCACATACAGTCAGAGACTTTGAAATCTTTTGGTGAAAAAGGACACAAAGAGTTCGCCCTACGCTCTCCTTTGAAATTAGGTTGTTGATACATGTCTCGAAGACTTCCTTACAAGCTTCAACAAATAATCTGAAAGAAGCGGAAGGAACTGAGAGGTTTCCAAAGTGAGAGTCGGCAGTGCCTTTCACACTCAAATACACGAGCACTTGATTTCCTTCAGAAAAACACGCATTTTCTGTCCTCAGCTCACATTTCTGGGATGTTCCTACACAGGAATGAACCTTGGGGATTTTCGATCCCAGCCACCCAGCAAAATAAATCATATTGTTCTCTTCTATTGCCAAAGGGTAGTTTGAAGGCGAATCGTTTGCCGTGGTAAGAAAAACTTTGCTTCCTAAGGCAAGAGGAGCAGAAGGTGCCTAGAGGCCTACTGGGAACGTAGCAAGGAGAGACATGTCGTCAGCGCAGTTTGATTTTTCCGACAGCTTGAATAGGTTGCTAATCAAAAGGTGCCTGAACGTAGCCTGAAATTGACGGAAAGTGGAGTTCGTGTTTGCACCTGATTTTGAACATATAACAGCAAAAGTGTTTTCAAGGGTGTCCTGGTTCAAATGGCGGTTTAAAAGGTGGAAAAAACCGTAATTAACCGCGAGGTAATTGCTGAGAAACAGCATTGACCTAGATGTCAAGAAGAAGCCACGAATGCAGTGCGACTGCCTTCTACACCCGAGTACTTGCAGGCTTTTAAGAACCAGACTGCACTATTTCAGAAACTCCTCAAGGATAGAGCCGTTACACATTGAAGAGGCATATGGCGCCTTTGCAAATTTCTGCGAGCTATTTAGGCTGTTAAAGAGACGATCGATTCTTTCAACGAATCTCGCTGTGTGAACAGCTGTGGCTGGCAATTGCTGAAAAGTAAGAAGGGCATACATTGCAGCTGCGCAGTGATTGCTAAACACTTGAGGTGCTAGCTTCACCGACACTTTTGACGAAAGGTCAAATTAAAATGCTTCTCTTTCAGCTTTGGCATAGAGCGGATCTCAAGTTTACGGTCCTTTTCATAAGCTTCCTTGATGTAGGAACTTTCACTATGTAATCTCCAACCTTTTAGTCCTATTTGAATAACATGTTTCTGAGGCACTTCAAAACGTGTGGAGCATCGAAAGGAAAAAAGTGGCTTGCATTGATCTCTACGTAAGGCTTTTCGGCAGTTACGATGCTTGAAAAAGAGACACGTTCTGGCACCCTTGATCGCATACAACAGCTACCGGCTCCAGGCCAGCGTCCACAAGTGCGCTGTAACACTGGGAAAAAGAAATCTTTTAGTACATCTAAAGGTGTGCATTTGTGAGCAAAAAGCAGCCAAGGGGCTGCTTCCACGGTATTCCGACTCCTTTCGCATGAACATGAGAGCCTTGTTTGCCAGCTTTTTGCCTTGCTGTTCACTATGTTCTTCAAGTTCTTCAAACCTGTCAGACGAGGGGTTGTATGAAAGCTCTTTTTTGATGTGCATTTCATCAAAGACTATGCTGCAGGCCCGATCGGCTCGAGAAAAAGAAGCTTCCCGCCTCTTTTTCAGCTCGAAAATGCCAGAGTAAAATCCAACCTTCACTGGCACACACTGAAGCCATAGCGGCAGAGACCTCACTGATGGCAGCCTGAGCAGCCGCCTGCAATACTTATAGCCTTTGGCGCAATGAAAGTAGAGGTCTAAAGCCAAGACTTTGTTGTGGCTGCACCATCTCTGGCCAAACCAGCTCACACTGCTCATCCTAATATGGGCTTCAACGAGTGCGGCGACAGGAGGAGGCACATGAATGAGGACACTCTCAATGACTTCGGCAGCAGTCCTCATCTGACGTTGTCGTTGCAGCCTTCAATACAGCCTCTAGTTACGCTCTTGAAGCTGTCGCACCTTGACTCTCAGGACGTTCGTCTTCTTGTGTCCGATGCTGCGGTTTTTGCAGGGTGCTGCAATTTGACAAATGACCCAGATTAGGTCTCTAAGAAAAACTTGAACTCGCCATCAATTTATTAAATGTGCAATCTATTCACTCTCAAGAACATTCCTCAATGATTTGAAGTGCCTTTAAACAAGAACAGCAAGTGTGACAGACTAAACATATGCAATTCAACTTTAGGAAAGCAGCAGTACATCTTTATGTCGAACTAGGCGCTTCCTGTTGGCCAGAGACCTGATAGTCCAAAAAAAGGGCGCACACAGAAACATGCAAGTCAGAAAAGGTATCCAAACTGTGAAATGTATTTTCTTAAAACTTGACCAAGCCTTACTTATGCCCATGGCACTGTAAGAGTGGAGCACTCGAACAACAACAGGCAACTAAAGTTTGGCAGATAGGACAAGGGACCATGACAGGCTCAGCATCCACAATAATGACCGCGGCAGCTTTTCGATAACTTAAAAAAACACTGTCTTACGTTTGGTTTTGCGGGAATACTTACGATTCAGTGAAACCGGTTCAGCTGTTTTGATTTGATGGTGTTAACACCTGCGTGTGAAACATTTTCTTGTCTTTTTGTGTGCTTAACAATGACAATACCGTGAAACAAGAATGTGGTGAACATTGAATCAACTTCGATTTGTAGCTGCCAGCGACCCGGTCTTGTGTTATGTGACCCCATGCGCCATCAGCTCTCAAGATAAAGTTTAATATCCCGTGGCGTTTTCGAGCTTTATATTTCTGCGGCCTGACCTTTTATAATTTCACCAAAAAAAAAAGTTCGCTCCATACAAAGCACTCACATTTGTGAGAAGGTCCAGCAGCACAGCCAGAGAGAGAGTCTCTAGGCGACGGTGAAGAAACCAAAATTTCCATGTCAGCCACGTCCCCACTGGACTCTTGAGCAGGAGCAGCATCTTGACATAGAGCGTAGCTGTGATCAACTGCAAAAAAAAGAAAGAAAAAAGGAGTAGTAGAAAACATGTACCAGTTCGGCCAACTGTCAATCAAAGTCGCAAGCGGGCGGGGCTAGCCCCGACCAAACACAGAGCCGCAGGGCGGGGCCTCTTCCCTTTCTACCAGCCCAGGGACCAATGACAGGGCATGGGCGTTGGCCAGTGATTAATCGGAGCACGCCCGGGTTCCGACCCCCGAGGTACGCGTGTGACCTCAAACCTCAGACCTCGAACCGCAGACATCGAACCTCAAACCTCAGACCTCAAACCACAAGCGTGGTTGACCAGGTGTTGACAGCTGTGGTCATCATCTGATAACAACCACCGCAAACCTCAGACCTCAAACCACAAGCGTGGTTGACCAGGTGTTGACAGCTGCGGTCATCACATGATAGCAACCACGTGATGTCACAGGGTCCAAGCTTCGTTCGACAGAGGGCGCTATAGGACTCGAATTGCAGCGCTCAGGGCGCCTCACGTGTGATGTCATAGGGTTCGAGCTGCGTCCAACAGAGGGCGCTGCGCTATGGTCACACGACGTTCACGTGTTTTGAATTTGAATCGCTGGGCGGTAAATGCATTTTAATCGATTAAAAAGGGCTCCGCGGCCGGCGGGCTATCGACCTCTCTACCTTGGGCACAGCAGCCCGACACTCTACCCCCTGAGCTACGAGCACATTGCTTCCGAGACCGCTTAAGTCGTCTCAGTTGTCCGCGTGTGTGTTGATAGCTATGGTCATCATCTGATAGCAACCACGTGATGTCACAGGTCCGAGCTTCGTCCGACAGAGGGCGCTATAGGACTTGATTTGCAGCGCTCAGGGCGTCTCACGTGTGATGTCACAGGATTCAAGCTGCGTCCGACAAAGGGCGCTCACGTGATGTCACACAGGGTTCGTGCTACATCCGAAAGAGGGCGCTGCGATGCGGTCACATGACGGTCACGTGTTTTGAATTTGAATCGCTGCGCATTTTCTACAAGCAGGTCAGGCGCATTTTCCCCGACGCTCGCGCAGCGTACAGCGACACGGACTCGTTCATCCTCCAAATCACCGACCCGGATACAGACTCGAAGCTCGCGACCCTTGCCGAAACTCACCTGGATACTTCTGGGTACCCGGGCGATCACCACTTGTTCTCTCCCGCAAACAAAATGAAACTAGGAGTGTTCAAAAACGAGATCCCCAAAGATCACATTCTTGGATTTCTTTGTTTAAAACCCAAACTCTATTCGATGGAACTAGCCTCCCGAAAGCACTACGTGAGGGCGAAAGGAGTGAAAAGGTGCGAGTCCCGTAAGCTAACCTACGAGCTGTACGTTCAAACTCTCGAGCAACAAACTCGGCACAAGATCACGCAGCGGACTATCGCACGTAAGTTGTGCGAGAACAAGACTGTTGCCGTGGAGAAGATAGGACTCAACCCGTTTGACAACAAGCGCTTCATCGACTCTGACGGCGTTTCAACTCTTCCTTTCGGACATTGGAGCCTCTCGTGAAGTGCTTTTTTTTACATTTCAAGCTGATATATTTGTGTGTGTGTGTGTACAGAGTGTATTGTAAAGAGCCATTTTTATGTATCGCGAGGTTTTTTGTTTTTTTTCACCAATTGTTTGATATTTGTATAAAGAGCTGTCGCACGCCATATGTTTCTCCATGTCTCGAGAATATCTTAGATGCATGCATATTGAATAAAAAAAAGAAAAAGTTCCATCCTCGCTTTGTGTCCTTTTTGTGCGGCTTTATTTCGAGATCAGGTTACTGAGCGGATCAGCAGGAGAGCTTTAAAGCGGGAGAAGGAAATTGCTTGCGCACGAGTATGGAAATGTGTGTGTCATTCCATCGGCAGTCGCTCGCCGAGGAAGCTTGAATGCATTCGCCGAGCGGTACACCGCAACACAGGCGCGCACGCACGTATAGACAGTAAAGTCCGGGAAACCAAGCGCCCTCGCGTTTACCGCAAAACGCTATCCTTGGGACTGCGAGAGGTCTATCAAGCTGACCTAGTGAAAATTAAAAAAATTACCAAGTACAACGATGGAAAACGATATATTTTGTTTGTGATTGATACGTTCTCACGATTTCTCACCGTCGTCCCCATAGCTCGAAAGACGGGCGAGGACGGTTGTCAGTGTGTTGAAAATTGTCTTTCGAAAAATGTGGGAAATCAACCGTTTATGTAGGGTGGGGGTCGTGAATTTTACGGAAGATTGGTCCCCTCGTCTCTGGATAAAAACGACATTAAATTGTATTCCGTGAATTGGAAGCAAAAGGCTTCGATAGTGGAACGCGTACAACGCACCATAATGAGTCGGGTTTACAAGTACTTTGAGTATGCACGAACCAAACGATTAATTGAAATCCTCCCGGAAATCGTCAAATCTTATCATTTTAGCCACCACAGGACACTGAACGCTAGGCCGATTGATGTTACCCCACACAGAACCAGACCGAATTTTTCTTTCAACTGTTCCCCGATTCCGGTCGCGTGAAAATACCTAAATTTCGCATGGGTGAGCATGTGCGCATCTCCATAGATCGTCACGTTCTCTTGAAGAAGTACAAGCAGTCGTTTACGGAGGAGGTGTTTATCGTGGATCGAATTCGATTAGGTGTGACCAATACCTACCACCTAGTCGATATGGTGAGAAAAGAGCCCGTTCTCGGCTCGTTTTACGAGGCAGAACTGCAGCGCGTTTCCCTGGCCGAAAACAAGACCTAAAATAACATTCCGAGCTCTCGAGATATATCAAAACCTGTCTAGACTTGTTCCTGCATGACGGAAATGTAGATAGGCTTCGTCACATGACCTGGAGAAATGACGCGTTCAAATTCCGTGGAGGGTTGTTTGTTTGTTTTTTTTCACCCAGATTACGAAAGCCATTTACGAGGTGACGAGTGCGCGAGCATCGTTTGAATCCCGCGCGCGCGAAATCACGTGATAGGAAGACCAGCAAGGTCACACGACCATGGGCACATGACCTGCGGCAATGACGCATCCTGTTTTTAACCGTATTACAAAAGCCAAGTAGCGCGCGGGACGTCACGTGATCTGAATTGCACACACACACGAATAACTAAGACGACTATAGCGGTCTCGGAGGCAATGTGCTCGTAGTTCAGGGGGTAGAGTGTCGGGCTGCTGTAGCGAGTTTCATTCCCAGCCGGCCGCGGAGCATTTTTTATCGAATATAAGGGGCATTAACCGCGCAGCGATTCAACAGCGAGGAAGTGGCCGAGTGGGCTCGGAGCGTGGAGCGAAAGCTTGCGCTGGGAACATCCTGGATTCGAGTCCCCGCCGCCCCCGTCCGTTTCGATCTGGATGAGTTTCCATCTGGATGAGTTTCGTATCGGCACGCGTTCGTGTGATCACTACTGCGTGATGCACGTTAAAAATCCCAGGTAAGCGGTTGTACTGTACTGGCTAAATTTCTCATCTACAGCTAAGAGACCGATTACCCGTTGTGGCGCATCTCCATCGAGGCTGTATAAACATACAGAGCAAACCAATTTTTTTTCAGCGATTCAAATTCAAAACACGTGAACGTCATGTGACCGGAGCGCAGCGCCCACTGTTGGATGCAGCACGAACACTGTGTGACATCACGTTAGCGCCCTCTGTCGGACGCAGCTCGAACCCTATGACATCACATGTGAGACGCCCTGAGCGCCGCAATTCAAGTCCTATAGCGCCCTCTGTCGAACGAGGCTCGGACCCTGTGACAACGCGTGGTTGTTATCAGATGATGGCCGCAGCTGTCAACCCTGGTCAACCATGCTTTTGGTTTGAGGTCTGAAGTTTGAGGTCATGGTAAGTTGCACGCGCCTGACACGCGACGCGTACGTGACTTCACACCTATACCGAGCACGTGACTCGAGGGCGGGACCTCGCTGAGCTCGGATCAGTCACTGGCTAATGCCCTGTAGGCGGGGCCATCGATGCCCACTGCCTGGCATTAGTCACTAGGATGGGAGAGAGGGAAAGGACCCCGCCCTACTGCGCTGTGATTGGTCGGATTGGGTATGGCCCCGCCCTCCTGTGCTGTGATTGGTCGGATCGGGTATGGCCCCGCCCTCCTGCGCTGTGATTGGTCGCTGTGCAAACTGGTACATGTTTTGTACTACTGAAAGGCTTTTGCAAAAACTGCAAGTAAGAAAGCAATTAGACATGAGGAAGATACATAGAAAGGGGGGACGGACAACGAAGACAACAACGGCACTGAAGCTGTAAGAGCGTTCTCGCTCGATGTTGTAGATCTCTACTATAGCCTAAATGTGAAGACCCTCCTGGGCTTCATTTCTGAAGTCATCCACGAGACAGGTGTCATAGACTTTCAAAATTCATGTGGCGTCTCGCTGTCCTCATTTCTCGAATTGACACAACTGTATCTCCAATCAACGCTTGTTGAATATGAGGGTAAAGTGTACATACAAAGGGCCGGCGTCTGTATCGGGTCTTGCTTGGCTCCCGTCCTCAGCGAAATGTACCTGTTTTATGTTGACGCCAAAGTTCAGGCGGACCTTCAACGAGATTTTCCCGATGCGAAGGTTTTTCGTTATGTTGACGATTATCTCATCCTACACTCCGCCATCTCTGACTCTGCAGCCATAGAGACCGTGTTCCAGAAGAACTCACATGGGCTTACGTTCACCAAAGAGGCCCCCTCCCCTAAGGGCTTACAGTTCCTGGATCTCAGGTTGGTCCCAACTAGCAAAGGTATCTGCTGGGCTCACCAGCAGAGGTCCTCTAAGTCCGTTCTTCCTTTCAACAGCTCACACTCAAGGAATGTAAAAAATGGGATCGTTCGGAATCTAGTTGCTTCGGCAAAGGTTAAATCCTGTCAGCACCTTTCCGCCCCCAGCCTATCCAAGCAGATTAGTCGCCTCATAAAGGCAGGATACCCGAGAGACCTGATTGAAACAACAATCAAAAGACTTGTCGCGGGGCAGAAATCCAAACCCCTCCCTCCTAAGTCACGCTTCGCGTGCATCCCCTACATACACAACACCTCACATCGCCTGAAATCTATTGCGCTCGGCTTCAACACCAACGTTGTATTTTCCTGCAAGTTCAAATTAGCTTCTATTTGTAGAAAGGTCAACAACCCCGGTCCAGCGCCCCCGTGCCAGAAAAAGCACCAGACCAATTATGTAACCTGCTGCAAAGAGTGCGTGTATTCGATTCCCATGTCCTGCGGTGCTAAATACATCGGACAGACGGGCCGATGCCTAAACGATCGGGTGAGGGAACATGCAAACGAGATCAAGAAAGCCGCCTCCGACACTTCGGAGATTTGTTACCACCCGATTGCGAAACACACCTCTGAGTGCAGCGAACCCTGTTCGGCCGACCTTCCCTCGACCACCAGGATTGGAGGTCACGCCTCAAGATACGGACGAGAGATCATGGAGGCCTTCGCCATGCACTACAGTCGCAGCAACTTCGGATCCCCGTCCATAGGCTTATCCAGGAGGGAGATAAACTTCCTGGGGCCAGAGCTGACGTCCCTCGTTTCAGCGGCTCCGAGCGATTAGATATCTACCCCACGGGATCGCCCCTCATTTCCCTGGCTCTACACTCTCCCCCATCGCTTTCCCACTTTCCAGTGTAGCGTCTTTCACCCTCCCCTCCTTCACCTATATATGCAAACTTCGGGTCAATAAATGTTGTTGCTAGTTGGAAGTCTTCGTTGGCCGTCCCCCCTTTCTATGTATCTTCCTCATGTCTAATTACAGTTACCAACACGCTCGTTTTGTACTTAAGAAAGCAAGTTCATCAGAGTGGAAAGTTGGGCGAGTTGTTCAGTTAAGCTGGCAGAAACAGTGCCTCTCTGTACTTTTACAGCGCCTGTCTGTATACACCTTGTTCCCTGTCCTTCGTCAAGTCGCGCTGTTTCTACCAGTTAAGAAAACAAGTTCACAAAGAAAAAGGAATAAAAAGATAGCACACACAATATTCAGCCACCACTTATTATTGGCCCCTAGTGGACTGTTGTCTACTAAGGTGCACGAGTATGTGTGGTCCAATGAAGCCACAAAAATCCGCTCTGCAAATTTAATGTCAACTTATTAAAGGAGAAGAGGTTGAGGTCCTCCCTTCACCTATTTAACGCATAAAAAGTATATTCACCTTCGTACATGACAGGTTTATTTCAGAAGACTGGTCGTCAGGGTGACTACAGGAACTCCACCAGTCTGAGCGGCCGGAGTACGTGCAGCTCGATGAGGCTGGCGAAATCCTCTTTGCAAATTTAGCGTGAAGTTAGCCATGGAATAGTAGTTGAGTTCCTTCCTATATGTCTATTCTTACACACGACAAAGAAAATCCCCTTGTTCCCACGAAAGTTTCATTTCGGAAGACTGGTCGTCAGGGTGACTACAGAAGCTCCGTGAGTCTTAACTGCCGAAGCATGTGTAGCTCGATGAGGGTGGCGAACCCACCTCTGCAAATTTATGGTGAATTCACCTATTTTAACACAAAATGTTAATCACTTTTTTTCATGGACAGCTTTATTATAAAAGACTGGGTGTCGGCAAGGCAAAAGATGCTCTGTGGACCGATATTGACGTTGATTATGTCACCTCAAATAAAACATGCCAATATAAAACGGGCCTGAAATGAACTTCTAGCAGTACCTCTGTCCATGTTCTACCAGCTTTTCCCAGCTGATCTCACCTAGTTCTATTGCAAAAGGCTCGAATCATGAAGACCATGAGGTAATGCAGAGGTGCTGGCAGTTTGTGCCACTTTATGTTAGTTACAGTGAAAAAGCTCACCATGCACGACTGCTGAACCCGGAGAGCTTTTGCTGAAAATGTTGCCATGTGTCGTCTCTGCAAATAATATAAAACTGTTATGAGGCCACAGAAGCAATATTTCAACTCCATGTGGTAACTATTTTTCTAAGAACGAATTAACCATGCTTAGTCACAAAGTGCACGGAAGGTTTATTGGTTTGCTTACTTTTTGTGGTAACTTGGCCACGCATTTTGGCGGAGGTGTCCAAGGCGCAGGAAAGCTGACTCCTCGAGATGTAAGGAGCAAACTACCCTGCCCCGTAGCTGCCAAGGAGTCTTCCCCTGTAGACTTCGGTTTTTGCAGAATCGAACCCAGGCTTCGCGTCTGTACGATAAGGCATGGTGCTATGAGGGTGCCGTGAATACTTATGAAAAAAAATGTAGCCAAAATGTCCACAAACCAAAGCAAATCATAGCAAGCACATTAACAAATGCATGACGTCAACGCTCTGTGTACATCATGAAGAGTAAAAACACGAGTCTTACGCACAGATGCCCTATTATATATCTGTGTTGTACCACTGATAACCACGCCGATGATCACGACACTAGGTTTCTCAGAGCCAGACCGGTACAGGTAACTTTGAATATCGTGGGCACTTTTATAATGACGGCACACAACGCTGCAAAGTCAGAGTGATTTCGAAGTTAAAACATTCCTAGTATAACATATTACGCCTTCAGTTGTAGTTTCTTGTGCACATTTAGACAACCCTAATAGTTTTAGGTAAAACTAATAAGAGTTAAGAGAAGGCCGAACGGGAGCATGACATCACACAGCAGGCACGTTACTGAGAGTAGCGAAGTCTCACCATTGAGAATCGAGGGAAAACCGGTGCAGCGAGATGCCAGCCGTGCGGGTGTCGCTTTCACACATTTCCACGGAGCACCGTTTTTTACGTATCGCGCTGTGCTCATCGTCGCAAAAGACGTTGAGCCCCTTGGGCGCAGTAGCGTCGAAGATCCAAGCGCACGACAGCCGAGTTCCCGCACAGGTAACTGGGCTAGTCACGCCCGAGCAAACAACAAAACTTCCGAAACGGTGTTAACTGCCGCTGAAACAATTAAAAGCGAAGAGCACGTCGACGCCCAAACTCAAGCAAGCAGACGGACGTCAGCAGCCAGCCTTTCCGCGCGCAGCGAGATCTACAAAGAACCGCAAATATCGCTATTGCTAGGGGATCGGTGGCCGAGTGGGCTAAGGTGCACACCCAGCTCGACGCACGTGGAGCGAAAGCTCGCGCTGCAGAACCCAGGGATCCTGGGTTCGAGCCCCACCCCTGCCCGTTTCGATCTGGATGACCATCGTACCGGCGTGCGGTCGTGTATCACTGCTGCGTGGTGCACGTTAAAGACGCCAGGCTAGCGGTTGTACTGCACTGGCTAAATTGCTCATCTACAGCGAGTGACTCGTCGCAACTTTAATGGCTTACCAACTACACGCTGTATAAATATTCCCACAACCCACTTTGCTGTGCTTCGCTATTGGCGACGTGCGCGACCGAAAGCGTCGCTGTGGTCGGCCTTCCACGATTGGCCCAAAAGCTGACTATGACGACGGAAAGGGTATACCATCGACGGAAATAAGAGGAATGAAAGAACTTTAATTTCCACGGTGTTGGCAGTGTTGCTTTCAGAGCGCAATGATTTCAGGCTTCCACCATGCTATTCGGAAAAACCATCGAACTTGTCGTTCTCAAGGTAATGACGTCACAAGGGGGAACCATAGGAGGGCGCCACCAAAACATCTCGCCGCTAATTGCTAGCCGGCCTTTTTGCTAGTGGCGAACGGAGGACGCTAATAAGAAGTATATGCATAATATTAGCAAAAAAAAAAGTTTTAAATTTTGTAGCGCGTTAAATATGATTGATATTATCTAATAACCGTATTTAGCTTGTTTAACAATACTAATGATTATACTTCTAGTCACAAACTAATTAATTTAATAATATCTGTCCCCACCTCTCCTAGTCGCGCTTCAATCGCATCCTTCACGTGACCCTCCAGGTCGATGTCGCTGGCGATTTGTTTTGAACCGCTTTTTCGACGAATCTTCGATACCCATGTACATACACCTTGATCGGAATCTCGAATTCGGCTCCCGACGTGCCGCTTTCTCTCCTAGCCACTGGATGGCGCTGCAGGAGCCCCGTGGCGCCTGCAGCGCCATCCAGTGGGTTTTCGCCTGCGAGCGGCGGTTGCGGTGAGCGGACGTGTTTCCTGGTTGTCCTCGAGCATCCGAAGCTAAGTGCCAGTTTTTCTTCTTTTCTCTCTCTTTTTTGAGTGTTGATTGGAAGTGACTATGCGGTAGCAGTATTAGGTTCGAACAGCAGCAGTTGAAGTTAGTTTCGCAAAGTAGGCTTTGTTTGAATTTTTGGCGGGAAGGGATGGTTTGTTCCCCGTCTGGACATGGGTCTAGATCTGGGTGGGCATGACAAGGGTGGGGACGGGTTGGTGCAGTGCGAGGGGTGTGGGAGGTGGTGGTACCTAGAAGAGACGGGTTTCGGGAGTCTGTAGGAGGCGGCGGGGATGGGTTTCGAGTGTCGGCTTTGTGTGAAGCTTCAGCAGGTAATTGGGGAATGGGAGGGTAAAGTTTGGGAGATTGAGGCCCAGCTTAAGGCAGAAGGAGAGAATCGGATGGGTCTCGAGACCCAGGTTGAGGAGCTGGCTAGGCAGCTTAATCACGAGAGAGAGCAGCGGGTCGGCCTCGAGAAACAGGCGGAAGAGCTGGGGGAAGTATGGTAGGCGGGTTTAGAGAAGCGTAAGAAGGAGTTTGACAGTAGTGTACAGCGCCTGGAAGGGGTAATTCGAGCGAGTGAGAGTAGCGAGGGAAGAAAGGAGGAAGTCTCAGTTCTAGCAGGACGAACCACCAGTCTGCAGGCTGGGGTCACTGGTGGTTGGGAGTCCAGCCTGTTGGCTGGCGGGCTCGACGACGCTGGAGAGCTGAGTGACACTCAGCTCAATGGCGCCTTTGAGCAGCAGGCGTCGGGCAGTCAAGTGACAGGAGATACGTCGCAGGACAAAGGCGCGCAGGTACCAGGGGGATCTAGGGTACTGGTAGTGGGGAGCTCTAACGTAGCACGGGTTAAGAGGGGTGTATATAACAGGGTGAAGGGAGACCAGACGGTTAGCGTAGAGGTCCAGCCAGGGAAGTGTATGATGGATGCTATGACCACAACACGTGAGGGGGTGTGGGATAACCGGGAGGAAAGGAACCTAGTAATAATTCATGAGGGGCTTAATGATGTGCTCAACGGTAGGAGCCAGAACCTTGGAAAGCAGCTAAACGTGGGAATGCGTAAGCTGAGGGACGTCTCTGAGAATGCGAACGTGGTTGTGTGCACCATTCCAGAAGTTTGGGGGCAGTCCGGGGTAACGGAGAGGAGGGTTGTCGAATCCAACAGAGTAATTAAGGGTATGAGTCGACAGCTTCGGTACGACGTAATGGAAGTAAATAGGGTAGTGTACGAGGCTGGCTCCCGCCCTTTTGCAGTTGGCATTCACTACAGTGAGGCCACGGGTTTCAGGGTGGGGGATAGGATGGGCCGCACGGTGAGTGCTTTTTTGGGGGGACCGAGGGCCCTGGGGGCACTGAAGTAACTTAAAACCCAACAAAGTCAGGAGAGGCATCCAGGGTTTAAAAGAGGAGAAAGCGTAAGAACAGGTATAAACAAACAGCACAATCAAACATTGAATATATCAACATGCAGTGTGGTAGAAATAGGTTAAAATGGGAAGAGGTAGAGGAGCAACTAAGAAAGGAGGACTTAATCGTGTATGGGTTTGTGGTTCACACGTCAGAGACATGAAGCAGCCACCTTGCAACCCTGACTATGTGTGGGAAGAATACAACAGAAAGGAGGGAACGAGGAAGGGAGGTGGAATTGGAGCATTTATTAAGAAGAATATGAACTTTCAAAGGATTAGAAAAGAGTGTGCTGAACATTTGTGGCTAAAAGGAAAGGTCGCTGAAGAATCGACCGTCCTTGGAGTTGTTTATTTATGGACAGCGACAGGTGCTAAAAGAGGAAACCAGGAAAATGTTTGATTGCATATAAAGAGACATTAGTGATCTAGGGGAAGGTTCTGAAATAATTATAATGGGAGACATGAATGCCCATATCGAGGGTCTGGATGGGTATACGGACTCAACTGGAAGCATATTACTGGAACTGGTGGAAGAACATGACTTAGTTTTATGTAATACGAGTCAGAACTGTGACGGGCACATAACGTGGGAAACTGGCAATCTACATTCAACTATAGATTACGTACTCATGTCACATAAAATATATGGTAAGTTAAAAGTAATGAAAATAGATGAAGAAGGTTTCAAAAGTCTTGGTAGTGATCACAAACGTATTAAGCTGAATTTTACCAGAGAAATAAATGCTGAAACTAGACAACATGATTAACAGCAACCTTTCTGCAGCGACACAGAGTTGGAAATAGTTCTCCAACTCTGTGTCGAACTATTTCCACAGAGTGGAAATCGTTCGACACTCTGTGGAAATAGTTTCGAACTATTTCCACAGAGTGGGAATAGTTCGAAAAAGACGGTAGAAGATTAGTTTTCCGCATATTGTGGGGGATTACCTGTTCTATACGCAGTTCCCTGCGCCGTGTACAGAATGTGCAGCATGTAAAAAATGGAGGGGACCTTAAACTCTCAGTCGTATCATAAAGGTGCACTTAACACTGGACGAGGCTGTGGAGATTAAACGTGGAGTAGGTGTAACAGCGCGTAACAACGAGGACTAAGAATAGGAGCACAAAACACAGGATACCCCTCCCTTTTGACAAAGTCTATTTTGTGCAAACCGCTAGGTGCTTAAAAGACAGGCTCAGACAGCACGACTATTCCTCCAGAGCCACGGTCGGCGAGTATCTACCGGTTCAGTCTGGGACTTGCAAGAGCAAACCATCCTTCGATGAGACCTCTATATTAGGAATGCACCGAGATGAGGTAACGAGAGGAGTGTATATGTGCTAGCGTTTCACCACCCCGTAGGTAGTCAGCCTGTGACCACCTTTTTCTTTATGAAAAAATGTTTCCATATTCTTATACCTCGAGTGACTGTTTTATAAATGATAAGCTATTTCGTTATAGTTATATAACATCTATTATCAAATACCATGTGTGTACGTAATACTGAACAAAAGATGTTATCAGCGTGTTTTTAGTTTTGTTTTAATCTTAGTATAAATTGATTTGATACGTAGACTCATGCATTGACGTCGTTTAGGTTATGTAAGCTAGTGATACATATTGCTTATTCATGCAATATCGTTTTATTCTTGTTAGCTTCCATTTCCCATTCATTCACGGTAACCATCAGAAGAACGGCGTCGAAGCCAGCGCCGTTCATGCGACACATGCCAATCAATTTCGTCAGTCTATACGGGG